TCCTCTGAATACCACGTGGTTGTCAGCTAATTTTTTCATTATATCTAAATATACTTAATGTAGAAAACTTCTGATATATCAATGTTTATTTGTAAAGATGTTTATTTAAATAAAAGAATTGAACCACATTTATTACATTTTTATGTGCTAAATAGATTATAAAGTGATTTAGGCACGTAATCTAAAAGTTGTGCGTAAAGTAGAACTAAAGTTCATCTTTAACATTCTGTGTATGTATGTGAATAAAAGAAGTCTTAGTTCCTTAATGGGTTAGAGTCTGGCTGCTCACCCTAGGACTTGGTTCAAACACACCCGAGTCACGAGGATAGAAGCAGACGAGGCTGTCTGCGTTAGGAGCCTTGAAGACTCCGGCAGTTCTACCCGGTCCTTTAGGATTGCTACAGACTGAGCAGTGGGTCTTAGGTTAGGTTTATGTGGGTCCTCCTTCGAGTCAGGCTTTCATTCGATCCCCCGTACATATTTTACAGTGTTTCAAAATATAGCATATTTTATTCATAATGCCTTTCCTTCATCATCTATAATATGTGCAAAAATAAATAAATTGAAATATTTATATACAAGATGCTTCAAAAAATTTCATTTAAAAGTTTCAATGTTTTTATTTCATATTTCCATGGACTTTTCAAAAATTCTTTGGTATTTCTCCTAATAGATATAAATTTAAGAATACAAATAATATAAAATCTAAGAAAATGAAATTTATATACATGTTAAGAGTAAATTATATTTGAATTTAACTATTACTATTTTGAGAATAAACCACCTAAAGAATTAAATTTTTATTTTGGACATTAACAAATCATTTTTAAAGCCAAATTTAATTTGCTTATTGAAAACATATGGGATTGTTGAATAACTTGTTTTTTTTTATCTCTAATTAGTTTTTATCTCTCTTTTTTGTTAGGACACTTGAGAGAGCACGAATTATTTTCCTAATTTTTGTTTATACATATGTAAACACTGAGGAAATATGTTCCAATAAGTTAATACATGGGAATAAAATAGTTTTATTAACAATATTACTAAATTTTAGTAAGAAACATTTTTGCATAATAACCCATCATTCATAATATTAAATCATTTATCAAATAAGTAGCCTGTGTCTTGTCAAGTTTACAGAAATAAAACATTAAGAACCATCTTATTTGAAAAGCAATGTGTTTGTCATAAGGATTATTCACTTTCTCCATTTCTGGGGATTTCTTTCTCTCCCCATGGCCCCTCATCCCTACCTCCAATGCATGAACGAGGGTCACTACGCAGATTGGTGAGGTGACTTGTAATACCTCTGCTACACTTTTACTTAGAGGCACCTTGTTTGACATGCGACACTCAGAGCACACGTGAACAAACAAATAATAATTTCAATGCAGAACAAAACAAATCTCAATGGCAAAGAGCTGTTTCCAACACATGGCAGCCTTGTATATGGTTCACAAGAACATACATTTTTATAACGGCAGATAACATCATCTTTTTCCAGCTGAGCAGCTGGTGGGTTTAAACTGCCAACTTTCCAGTTAACATCCCAAGGGTTAAAAAAGATGCAACACCAAAACCACTGCTCCACTAGGTATTCTTAACTTCCCACATATTTTTTGCAATATTTTTATAATTTTTGTTATATATTTTAAATACATTTTTGTCAATAATTTGAAATTATATTTATGGCTCATCAATTTTTTAACTAAAAAATCTACTTATAATCTACTTGACAAATGTAGATTTCATAGCAAAGTAAGCAGCTAAATCAGCTTTATTTCCTGCTAGAGAACATTTAATTTCATTTGTTTCCATCCAAACTCAGATATTCTTTGATTCACTTTGACATTTCCTATTTCTGAATGGTGGTTTTCGTGTAGAGAGGTAGACAAGTTCTCCCAAAGGGCCGTTCAGGTTGTCGTTCTCAATGCTTCTTCACAATGCTCTCTGCTTTCCTCTGATACAATTCTCTTCCAGCACCAATTGCCCCTCCTTTCTCCCACTCCCCACCACAAGTAGTGAGCTGGAAAAACGATTATTTTCTGGAAAATTGTTGTGATTTCAGCCAGCCCCCTCTTTAGTGTGTGTGTGTGTGTGTATGTGTATATGAATTTAGATGTATGCACGCACACATACATAGATTCACATAGAAATTTGCATTGCTATATTTTGTTTTATTATTAAGCACAATTGGAAGTTTTAAATTCTGAGATTTATCCCATTTTGGAATCTATGTATAGAATATATATAGAATTTTATATAGAGAATATATACACACACATTATGCATATGCATACATATGTAAACTCCTGACGAATGCCTGGGAATCTGTGTACAAAAGATTAGATAGATAGGTAGATGATAGATGTAGATAGATAGGTAGATGATAGATATAGATAGATAGGTAGATGATAGATATAGATAGATAGATAGATGATAGATAGATGGATAGATAGATAGATAGATAGATAGATAGATAGATAGATAGATAGATGATAGATAGATAGATAGATAGATAGATGATTCTCAAGTAGGACAACCCTCTGATTCTAAAACTTCATACTGTGATTAAAAATAAAACAACTTTAAAATAAAAATTCCTATATGCAGATATGTATGCATACATGCATCTATCTATCTTGCTGTCAACCAACTAACTAAGCAACCCATCAATTCTCTAGCTATCTAACTGTAAAAGACGTAATATCTTGTGTGGTTCCAGTTATGTTATAATATCACTATCACATATGTTGACCTCAACTTCTTAATGCTTCCAAGGTCATGTATTATGGTGATATTTATTTAGAATTGGTGAATAGTTTGCATAGTTTTAACAAACAAAGAATTACTGGGAAGGTTAGATCTTATGTCAACTTGATGCACAGTGTAAAGGGCAGGTCGAACCTCTCATTCAGGACACAGCCTGATGATATCTCCAGGAGATTGTGACTTTTTTTTGTGAGAGTTGCTTAGAGAACTTTTCTTTCTCTTGTGCCCGTAGACCTACGATGCTCGCAGCTCTGCACCCGTTTGCCTGTGATCTCCCAGCTTCGGCTACACTATGTGGCTTCCTTGGCGGGCAGTTGTGCGAGTCCGGATGGGACTCTGAGACGTGAGTTGGACTGGGGTGGGACACTTCCTGGGTGTGCTTATTTCTTTATATGAAGTCCTTTCTTACAGACATATATATGAGTGTACTGGGTTTTGTTTCTCTAGAAAATGCAACCTAACACAAATATTATAAAAGGTGAAGAGCCCAGGGGATTCAAGATGATAACCGGACTGTAAGTGTAGAGAAGAGTTAAGAAAGGGTTGATGTAAAAGTTGAGGATCTTGAAATTCATTTTAAAAGACAATGTCTTTGAACATTATTTCTTGAGATAAAAATAGAATTGCAATAGACAATTGAAAGTACATACATGGAAAGTAGGACAAAGATGAGATAAAGGGGCAAGATTCTGAGTTAGTCATAATTTATAGAAGTGTAAATTATACAACTAAAAATGATAATTATGCAAAAGGAGAGTGTTTTCATTTCTTTGAAAAATGTATAATTAATTTGGAGATAATACCTATAGTATATCATTCTATAGTTCAACCACATCAAGCACTATCGTACAAATGCTACCACAATTAGTTTTCAAACATTCTTTTTCTGCCTGGCTACATGGCATCTTCTCCCCTTTACCATCCCCGCCCACAACCAATCACCAGCACGACAGCCCCCCTTCCTGAAACACTCATTCTACTCGCTGTCCCTCTCAAATCTGATACTGCTTTTTCTTCCAAGAATTTTTGTCCTTTTAACATCCGCCTGAAAATTGAAAATAATTCTTCACACACAGTGAGCATTAAGAAATCTTCAAATAAGTGAATTTTGATAATAGAACAATTGAAATCCAAATGCGTGCACGGTATTTTTTTCTTTTTGATCAGAGTTAATGTTCTGATGTATAGGCGATGCATGCATACAGAAAAGAATAAACCAGAAAACAACAAGACATATTGGTAGACCAAATTTCCACTTACATTGTACAAATCTCTTTCAGTAACTTTAAATTTATTGTCGATGAACTGGATACTCTTTGAAGTGGTAAACTATATAAAGTAATTTATTCATACTTTTATATAATTCAAAATACCTGACAGTCATGTAATATTTAGGATACATCAAAGTAACTCAAAATAAACATTGTTGCAAATTGAAAAGTTAAGGAAAATAGAATATTTTTAAAATTTCATTTGTATATAAAACATAATCTAAATGAAACTAACTTATATTATTTAAAAATATAGACTGGCAAAAACTCCTCAAAATTTCCCTTTGATCAAACTACTACTTAATCCAGACAGTGATCACCAACCACCAACCTTCTGAGTCAGCGCAACTAACGCTCTTCTCACCACGCGCACCTGGAAGTTGTCTGTGTATTTCATTTTAAAAGATCTTAGGAATATATAATTCTTTACCGAATCATCTAACAAAACCAGTTTAAAAATAAAGTATTGCCATTATTCTATAATTTTACAAGTTTAATAATAAGAATAAAAGTTTTGTTAATATATTCTCAAGTGCTTTTCTTCCTACCGGAAGATATATAAAGCCTTGATTATCATATTATCTAATTGTGTCATCAGTTCATATTACAATTTCCATAAATATGAGCACAAAGTTTACAAAAACCTATTAAACAAAAGGCCAAGCTCAGGCAGACCCACAGCAAAGTTGTTGACTGCGATGATGGCTACTGGATTTAAGTGAAGTATTAGTGTAATATTTTTATCAACCTATCTCACAGAAGAGTAATTTACATTTTCTTTAGGTCATCTATATTATTTAAAAGGTAAAATCTAAGATGTTAACTTTTATAGGAATTATCACAACTGAGCAACGTACATTTTGCTTATTTATATAATTTTAAAATCATAAAAAAGAAATCAGAATTGGATAAATGTAATGAAGTTCCTACATAAAAAATGAAATTTTACCAACATACCTTGCAATTGAATCTTATTCTCAGGACTCTGAACCAGAACAGAACTGACAGAATCTAGGTTGTCATAGTTACTGCAGCCAAGAGGGCCCGTCCGTGTTTCAGTTACCTGAGGAACAAAATATTAATTTCATTATTTCAGTGCACTTTTGAATCAATGTAGTTGTCATACACTAATAAACATTTGACAATAAACACCATGGAACTCTGAGAAACATCAACAACACATACTGGTAATGCATACAGAGAAGCGCGCTGTGCTCTGTTCTCATTGCATTCTCTTCCTCCTAGCCAAGGGCGAGTCTTCAGGGCAAATAACGGAAACCCCCTCGGGTCAGAAGTGCTGCTCCTAGGAAGTCACGGCTTCTGCCTCAGCTCGAACAGTGACGAGCTCCTTAAGGTACGGAGCAAGGCGGGACGGATAGGAGAATTTTCTGTTTGCTCTCATCAAGGTATCAGAGGTCTTTACCTGGCTACTCTGGCTGAAAAAATATTTTTCGCTTCTTAGATATCTACAAACTCCTCTTCTTTATAGTGGCATCAGAGTCTGATTTTTTTTTTTTTTTTTGCTTTTCCCCAGCAGGCAGGTTATTTCATCTGGGAGTTATGCATTTTAATTCTATGCCTCTGGTTATCTTTACACCTGATTCACTTGATTAGAAAAGTTTCATTTCTCCTCTTGGATTAATGGATGTTATCTGTCCTCAAGGTAATCTCCTGAAAAAAGACCCACACAAAGTATCTCTTGATGACGTCTACCTGTTCCCCTTTACTTTTTCTATACACATATGTGTGCAGTACACATGGTTAGCCACTTTATTTCATGTTATTATTTATATTACATTATTGTTTATATTATTTCATATTAAAGTGATTTTTTGTTCCCTCTCCATGGGTGTCTAGGATACAAAATAGCACAGGATAAGGAAGCTAAGGTTGGAATTTTTTCCTGGGTGTGATTAGCAATGAAAATAGAATACTTAAGTCACAGCAGTATATCTGTTATATTTGTGTTTTTAAAATATTCTCTGACAGCAAACACAATGATCTTTACAAAAGGAAACTCAGATCATATGACCCCACTGATTTTCATCCCTACAATGGTTTTCCATTTCAGCCAGGATAAAACCAGAGTCATGTTTAAGGCTAAAAAGACGCCTTAATACCCAGCCTTTGTAGTTCGAACGCATTTTCTCCTCATCTCTTCCTCATTCACTCTGCCCTTGTCCTGCCATCTTGCCTGTTCCTCAAACAAGAAAGCATCCTTTTGCCTCGAGGTCTTTGATTTGTTGCTCCTGTTAGGATCCTCTGTTTGAACTTATTGGTCACCTCACTCCTTCTTTCCAGTTGTTTCTGTTATCGCTCACTACTTGAGCTAGTCCGTTTAAAATTAAATGCATATACCTTCCTATTCTTTTCTCTTTCATACATATTTATTTTCCCATTATTTGGCTTCTCTTTTTCTATAGTACAGATCACCTTCTAAAGTGATATAACATTTACTCACTCATCATGATTATTATTGATACCTCTCATTAGAATGCAAGTTCCGCACATACAGAGAATATTGCCTAATTTGTTCATTGCTGTATCCCAGCAATGTGTTTCTTGTGTAAACATATCGACATTTACCAGGTTAAAGAGAAATGGTAGAGAGAGGAGTAAACCATAGCAAGGAAAACCCTGAGACCCTTATGGAGATACTAAAAGTCTAAATTAAGTAGTTGAAAAAGAAAATGTATTGTTAAAAACCTAAAATTGAGAAGAAGGCAAAATGGTGAAAGTGTAAGTTGATGGAGATAAACGTGTCTGAAAAATTTAGCATAAATAATGGCATTTCTATATGGAACAAGGAAGCGCCTCGTGGAGAGCATCATAGGAACGTTGGTTTTGAGCACTCTCATGCTGAGGTGCATGGGACCCTTCCTGGGAACAGCGAGACAAAAGAGCACGCAGGCAGCTCTGGTTTTAGAAGCAGAGCCAAGGACTGGGTTTATGAGGCTTCCATTCACAGATGATAAGCAAAGACATCTCACGGTGACCCTACCGAGCTGATACAATGGCAGTGGGTTTAGTTTGGTTCAGAATAAAAGAAAAGTAAATAAACATGATAGTTCAAATGTATTGAGTATATGTCCAATTTGGACCACGGAGAGTCTGTCATATTTTAAACTTGTGTCTAACTTCTGGGAAAGTGTGGCACCTTTTCTGGACTAAATGTTCTCTCTAGTCCACAAACCTCTCTCAGGTCAACATAAGCTAGGAAAACATTGCCATAAAGATGGAAAAAAACAAAAACGTAAGAGATTAGAGAACATAAAATATTAAAAATAAATAAATTTAAAATTGGTTTTATTTTTTTCAATAATAATAAAAAAATATGAGGAACAGTCAAAATGTATTGCTAGCTAGCAGGGTTTAAATATATAGATGCATCAGTTTATTCGAGATAATTTTGTGATTAAACAGGTCTCTGCAATTCACTATAGAGAAATTCCATCAATAATACACACAGTAGTCCTCACCCTATTAGAGTGACTTCAAAAATAAGCTTTCTGAAAAAGAATAATTCTGAGGTCAGAGTTAATACCAAAATTTTAGTTTCACTCAGATGGACAGCTTAAAAAATCATTGCAGCTTTGTATCAAGTTTATGGAAATATTACCCACGTAAAATAATAGTGTTCTAATAGATCACGTTTGAAGGAAGGCTAGAAAGACTTCAAAGATGATTTAAGTTAGAGAAGTCTGATCAGAAAGTTATGGCAACTGTTTTATAGCAACCAAGGGGCGTTATCCTGATGGATTTTTTCATGGACATACAACAATCATGGAGACTTATTGTGAAGAATTTTTGTTTTATTTTGTTTAATTAAAAAAATGCAATGGTGATAAAAAGTTAAGAAAAGTTTTTCCAAAGAATCTCTTTTCTTCTTATTATAACAAAGCAACTATCCATTCTTCTAGGGTAGCAAGTGCCGTTCTAGAATAAGTTCATTGGGAAATCTTACCATACCCACTCTATAGCTCATATCTTGCTCCTTCAGTTTTCATTATGTTTCCCAAACTAAAAGAACATATCAAGTGCACATTATTTGAGTTCCATGATGATGTCAAACTGTTTCTTTGACATACTGCCAATGAAATAGCTCAGACTTTAGGGGGAAGGCAAATATTAGAGAAAGGGAAATACCATATGTCAAGAAAAATAGGTTCACCTTCTGATGTTTTGGTTTAATAAGAGGTTTACAAGAATACTTTAAAAATACCTTTTGCCCACTTGGTATAAATGAAAAGAAAAAAGAGGAGCCAAATTATTATACAAACACTTCTGTAAAGATACTAACTCTGTTAAAAATGAATTATGTAGACAGGCTACCTGTACAGATCTTTTGCATATCAACTTCTACGAAAGTTTGGTCCTGGGATCTCCATATATAATATGTGACAGAACAAGTTATTTGCCTCGTGCAATATATTATCTGATTTCTTGACAATTGCTTCCACGAAAGTTGATTGTGAATTCAAGTAAAAAGAAATCTTTCACAACTTGAACCTTTTCTCTACCTACAATTATGTCAATGGGCACAATTGTGAGGATTTTTGTTTTATTTGTATTGAATTGTAATCCATATGGAGGGCTATATTCTTTGATCTTCAACAATTGTTTCAAGTGTCCCTCACATTCAGCAAGTAAGACTATCATTGGCATGTCATAACTTGGTAAAGAACCACCCTGCAATTTTAATGTCTTTAATACCATGTTACTCTCCAGTTTCTAGGAATAATTGCCCAGCATACAGATTGAATGAGCATGATAAAAGGATTTAGTTTGACACATAACTTTCCAGTTTTTGAACTAGGCAGTATTTCCTATTCTGTTTGAAATATTTTGTATCTGAACATGTTCCCCATGAGCACAGATCTGTGTTCTGGAATCCCCATTCTTCTTAACAAAATTTATAGTTTTTAATGATACATATAGGTGAATATATTTGCATAAATTACCAATAGTTAAATATATATATTTTTACTAGTGGATTTTAGGGTTTTGAGCAATGATTTACAGCATATGAAAATATTTTAAGCAATTTATATATTTCACTTATTTCTGAAGGGAGAATTCAGAAAGCCAGGGGAGCCTTTACAACTTTGAGAGGTAATGTGCAGAGTTCTGTCTTGAATCCTAAGGACAATTGCAAGGATTGTATTGCTAGGAAGTTTTAGAGGAGTTGTGCAGTGCATGTCCCTGGGGCTGGCTCAATGGTTTATGTGTCTACCTGTTAACTAAAAGAGTAGACATTTCACTCCATCCAGAGGTACATTGGGTGAAAGGCTTAGAGATAACTTCTAAAAAACAACTGTAAAAATCCTGTGGCGTGCAGTTCTACCCTGACACATGTGGAGCCCACATAGTCACGGTAAATTTATATTGGCTAAATGGGAACTAGCTTTTATTATGTATACAGGTTAGCTACATGTGGAACATATCTGAAAATTTCACAATTTTTTTCTTGAAAAGCTGACTTGTAAATATAATAATTATGGTCTTGATTACTATGCTTGTTTATAAGTAACTAATTAAATACATTATATACAAAAAGTGGTTTATCATTTATCTTATATCTAGTTTAGGCAGCAGTTATATAAATAAAAAGTATAGTTTGAAGCTTATTTACATAAAAATATTGGTTACAGAGCTTATTTAAAAATAAACAATCTTTGATATTTTGTGTTAAATTTCCCTAAACTCTTACACATTCAAAGGATGTTATTTCCCTTACAATGCCAAGGTAATCCAATGAAGTTGTGAAATTAATTCAACCAGGATTTATTCGAGAAAGAAAATACAATTTGATGAAAAACATTAAAAAAATAAAAACAACAAAAAAGTTTGACAAAATCTACTATATTGCTAAATGGAAATAATGTAATTAAAGGGGAAATTTTCTTGTTAAAACATAAAGGTAAAGTGTTTCTAATCCCAATTCTAAAAATACTGTACAATTTTTATATAGGAGCTGTATCACCAGAAAGAAGCTCCTTACTTATAACTCATGCAATGTAATTACACTATGATTCCTAGCCCACAGTTACTATTTCAAAAAAA